CTGGGGCGCCCCGCGGGCGGAAGTCTTTTCCCGACGTCTCGGCGCGGCTAGGAAATCTAACGCGTCGCTTATTTATCTAAACACAAGCTCTGGTGCGGAGTTCCCGCTGTCCTTAAAGAACATGTGTCCTGCCCCGCCCCGACGCAGTAGAGGGCGATCGTCCCGGGCCTGCACTCTGCAGCGGGCAGCGAACACCGTCGCGACGTCTGCGGTCTTATTACACTAGATTGTCCAAGTCCGCGGTCAGTCGGTTGCTGCGGGCCCTTCCGTGGACTAATCCGGCGACTGTCCCCACTGCCTCAGTGTCTTTAGCCTGGCAAAGGGCAGGGGGGTGGTGTCCTAGGAAGCAGCCCGCTCCGGCGTGGCCGACTGCTTCTCATTGTTAAGCCCCGGCCCTTGTTCATACTCAGGTTCAGGATTTGTGCGGGGCCGCCGCCCAGCACACGTGACGCCTGCGGTCTCAGCCCCGACACCGGTGTGCCGGAGGGCGCAAGGCCTCGCGTCCTTTGTGAGCAACGCAGGTTATCTAACCCGGGCTGTAGTGAGTATTGAGTTTGTTTTCTAGTAACTCCTAGTAGTGCCCAGTGCACTGCTTCAGTTTTGTTTCTCCCTAAGTCAGTAACGACTTTCTCAAAGCTGGTGGGCTTTCACCGACTGCAGTCATCGTTCTCAGTGATGCCGTTTGTCTGACCTCAGGCTGAGGGAAGCACTCCCAGCGTGTGTTGTGTCCCTTTGATACGGCTGTTAGCTTGTGCTTTTTTGCTTGCTGGCACAGTTAAAACGTCCAGGCTCACCTTGTCTCCGACCCATCCCAGGCTCCAAAGAGCGTAGTTTCCTTGCGATGGGAACAGTGTTCAGAAACCATGAGCAGAAGGCAGAGAGCCCATTTCCATTAAGTTGTGTCTGGGCATTTTCAGTGGACAGACAAGCTAGTAAATTGGTCACCTTGACTGGGCTGACTCCTGGAGAGATGACTGGATCACAGGGGCTACACTCACTGTGGATTCACCCACTTGTGCTCAGAGGTGGGCTAGGGTGGGGGGCTCCCAGGGACCCTCTGGAGTGTGCATCTTGAGCTAGCACTCTTCCTCATCTTGACTTCCGGGCCACTCTGAACTCAGAGGCCTTCTCCTTCACTGCCCTTACAACATGAAGCCCCTGCCTCAGAGCCAGCGGGCCAGGAACTGAGCCTCTGACACCATGAGCCAAGCAAAACTGTCCTCATGCGGGTGCAGGCATTTCGTTCCAGTGATGGGATAGGGACTAATTTAACAGAGCTAGGAAATAAAAACTTTTGTAAAGAAAGGTGAAAAAAGCGTAAGTTTATGCGGATATTTCTAATTAAAACTCAATATTGGAAAAAGCTTTTTAAAAAAATCTAGACTTCTGCTGTGATTTGAATATGGTCTGTCCTCACCCACACTTGTGTTGAGGCGGTAGCACTGGGAGAAGGGGCCTTGGGAGGGTGTTGTGAAGGGGTAGCTCACCCAAGGCAGACATCTGTGCCTTTTACTCAGACTGGATTAGTTCCTGGGTATTATGTTCCAGTGATGGGAAAGTGACTAAGACAGACAATTCGTGCCAGAGTGTGGTGTCACTGCTGTGCCTGGCCTTGACCTGGTGGTTTGAAACTGCTTTGCAGGAGTTTGGAGAGGTTTAGAGATGGGGCTAGAGAAGCTCTAGAACACAGTAAGTGGAGCCCGATGGGAGATTCTGTCAGAGCTCCAAAGACCAGAATGCTGGTAGGAATGTGGACAGTAAAGGCCAGCATGGGTCAGGTGGCTGATACAGAAAATTCCTGCTCTGCTTCTGGACCACCATGCACTAAGCATCTCTGCTCCACCATTCCTGTCCTGCATGATGTTCCTGACTTGGAGCCAGCAACACTGAAACTGAGCCAAATAAACCTCTGCTCCTTAAGGTGTGGATGTCATGTTTTGGGCCCCTGCTGTGGGAATCAGGGCCCCAACTAACACAGGTGCTGACAGGAAATTCAATTAAACCCAGCAGCAATTTAAGTCCTAGTTTCCTTTCTGTTTATCCATTTCCTTCTAGTGCCCTCTATTGGCGGAAGTTAAAAAGGTCAGCCCGAGAAAAGCCATGGGATGTGAGAACTGGCACCATACAGCAAAGGATAGTTGGGCTTAGAGTGGAGACAACCATGTGGATCACGACCTCAGTGCATTTCAGAAGAGCCCCAGAGCATTTCTGTGCTGGTTATTGAGCTACTGTGGCTCAGATTCAAATCCATACTTCTCTCTTCTGCTTCTTGAAGCTGGGATTCTGTCTTCTTTTCTGCAGGCTCCTCCCCTTGTGTCTCTACCATGATAGAAGCCCACAGCAAGAGCTGTGCTACTGTCCTGCATCACCTAGGAGCGGCTGACTTTGGTACAGCTGGTGGCTCCTGCTGTCCAATCAGTCTCGTGGCACCCTGCAGGATCCTGCACCAGCGGCTGCAGACTGCAAATCCTGGCACTGGCCCAAGCCGCAGGGCTGTGGAGGTCCTCCCTTCGCGCTCCCGCAGGAACACCATTGCCTTCTCAGATTTTTGTTTTCTTCATTTCTCTAGTATATAGTTAAAAATGAATTGTGGTTTCTTTCTTGGCTTGGGTCCCAATAAAATCTCGCAATACCAAAACACATTTGACAAAATCCAGTACCTATTCATTTTTCAAAAAAGCACTCAAATAATAATAGTTGGTTTATTTTAGTGTGATTATAAATATGCAGCTCCTAAACCATCTTCCTTGATGGGGTGAAACCAGGGGCACTCAGGTGAAAATCAGGAGTAAGACAAGGGAGCTCACCTGTTCCCACGGCTGGTTAACCCTGTGGCAGCAGCCGTGCATGCAGATAAGAAAAGCAACTGGGATAAGAATTAGGGAAAAGAGTGTAAAAAGTCTGGTTTTCAAGGGGTATATCTGGAAAAAACACTACAGTGATGAGCTAAAAAATACTATTGAGCAGTGAACATGGGAATCAGTCATCTTCATACATGAAGAAAGTAATCAGAAGAGGGAATCAGAGAAGATCTCGCTTATATGACCCAGAAAAGATAAAAAGAGAAAGCACAAGTTTATTGAGTATGCAAAACCTGCACAAGAAAGCTCTGTAACTCCGCTAGTTTCTACACTCTAAAGAGTAGAGTACTGGTTATCAGAGACACAGATTACAAGACAGAAAAAAAATCAAGAAATGACTTTAAGTGCATGTGGGAATACAACATCACTGTCACTAGGAGTCAGTATTGGATAACGTGGACTTTTTAACTAATGGGGAATCACTTGGGAAAAGGTAAAAATCGCACACACACTTCATACTATATATTAGGACAAATTCCACCAGTCAGAAATTTAAATGTAAGAAAATAAAGCCATGGGTCATTACTTTTATAACTTCAGAGTAGAGAATCCTTTCTTACTGTGACCAAACTGTTTCACCAACAGTTAAAGGTGGATATTATTATCTATGTAGAATGAAAAATAATTTGCATGGGAAAGGAACTAAATAAAAGATAAGTCTTATAAAAAGAAAACAGAAGTAAAGGATAAGAAAACACTGAGTCTGGGAGGGCCAGTCTCAGCAATAGTCTGGGAAGGTGAGCAGAGCCCATGGGCACTGAGTTCTGGACCACAGTAGAGAGGAGAGGAGGCTACTATGCTACAGCAGCCCGCCACCGCCATGAACTGACGCGGCCAGGGCTGCTAGAAACGCCATCTTCACACTGTGAAGTACTGCTCCCTGGCAGGAGTCGCTCCACTTGTGGTCCCAGGACAAGCTGCCACAGTACTGCCTGAGGGACCAGTCGGAGCTGGTCTAAGGAAGCATCTACGTGGGGCAGAAGAGGTCTGACGAGCTGTGTGAAAACAGCAAACCGCATGCTGATCCCAGGTGGGCGGAGGACTTATCACTTATGGCTGAAATAACAAGTTCTAAACACCAAATTCCAAAGAGGCAGAAAGGCCAACAATGAAGCCCTTCCTCCCAACATCCCTCCTGGGCCCCAGGTTCTGTGTAACAGAGAAAGAAACTGATGGTGAACAGAGAAGAATGAGGGTGACAGAAATCCGGCCAGTGCAGGAGGACTTTAAAGCTTTTAGATGCCATATGCAGTCCTCAGACCAAAAGCCAAATAAAAGATAGCTTCCCGTACCAGATAACCAATGCAACAGTATTTATTCATACATTTATGCAGTTAAAAGGCTGATGATAGCTATTGTTTGGTAAGAAGCTTAAATAAGGAAATAATTTATATGACCAAAATTATTTTAGAAGTTTAGTATTACAAAAACAGCTACTTTATGCACATATGTATAAATATAAGAATGAACAAATCAGCACTCTAAGGAAAGGGCAAAAGGGCAGGGGGAGACTTTTCCTCAAGTGTTCCATCTTTGTGATCCTAGATATATTTCTGTTCTGACTTCCGGTTCCTTGAGAATTCAGAAAAACTAGAGTCCATCTTTACTTCATCTTCTCATCTTTCTGGAAAAAAAAAAGTTTAACAATAAAACAAACCCAACTAACGCTTATGCTGTGGTGCACCAAGAAAAGTCCTTCCTCATCCCAGGGTAAAAGCAGCTTCCAAACCACAGGCTTTGAAATACTGACAGCGGAGTTAAAAATAAGGTGTAGGGAAACTATCCACCAGGATTCTCACACCACGCCCACCACACATTTCCTCCTCTGGATGCCCCCACAGCACGCCTCCCCCTGCCGGCAGGAGTGCTGGCGGGTTGTGCTGACCACACCTGTGCCTGTCTAGTTTCCACCCAGAAAGGCACAGAGCTGGGCTCCGGCTGCACTTGGCCTTCGTGTTGGGAACTCACACTGCAGGGACTTTTCCTGACTCCATTTCTTCAGCAACATCTCTGTAGAAACACCGAACACACTGCTTTCCCATCCTGTGCCTGACTCTGCTGTCAGCAGGCTGCTCCTGCTGGAACCCTGGCCTGTGTGTGCCCTGCACCTTCCTCTTCTGTGAGGAGCCAGCCTGAAGACCTCCAATTTGGAGCTGGCAGTGTGAGCAGGTCTGGCCACCAGGCCTGGGGAGCGCCATCGCACAGCAACAGACAGCTAGGACAACTCCACACACGCAGCGCGCACACCCAGCACCCAGCACCCACTTCCACACAACGCCCCATCATGAAAGAATCAGACTTCTTGAAGGAGTGCCAGCTTCCAAGGCTGGAGAACACGAGCGCCTGGAACATTCTGTATGTCAGAAAACAAGGAATTGCTCCAAATAATGTGAAACCTTATCAAAACCAATCGGAACAAACTCCTAATATGCAGCTGGAATGACATGGAAACACCCGAGTCCACATGTGAGAGATACATGAGGACAAGGGACAGCTTCGACTGGGTTTCTCCGTTGTCCGCTCCCTGCTTCCTGGCCCTTCTGAACCTTCATCCACTGTGACAGGAAAACGCAGGGAAGGGCACGGCCACTTTGGAAACTTCCCGGCAGCTCCACAATGCCTACAGTCACCGTGACAGGGACTCACACCTGCACATTCACCTGAGCGATGGCAGCAGGCGCACACAAAGCTGGCCCGAGTTTGCACACCAACACCACTCACGACAGCAACCTAAACACCCAACGAGAGGGGGGCGAAATGCAGTTGGGAAGGGGACAAATTACTAGGCCCCAAGCCAGTGAGGACTGACCCGGGGACACCGTGCTGCTAACAGCAGGGCCGGGCACAAAGCTCTCACGCTGTGTGGCTCTGTCGCTACAGGTGTGCAGAGCAGGGAGCTCTGAGGGGAAAGGGGGGCAGCAGGAAATGGGGTTGCAGCAGGGCAGAAGGTCACAGCTACTCAGAGTATAGGATGCCTTTCAGAGGGGAAGAAATGGGCTGGGATCCACCTAAATCAAAGGGTGGAGATTATGATGTATGGCCAGAGGAATTGCGTTCTGTCTCAGGAAAGCTATTTTTTAAAAAGCTGTTGATCCTTTATTTCTTGATTTTTTTCTACCCAGCCTCCTGCTGCTGCCCTCTACTGGCCATGTGTAAGTACTGTACCCGTGGGCACTACCCAGCCCAGTGTGTTTGAGAAGGGCAGAATGAGTAAAAGCGGAGAAGATGCTGTCCCAACTGGGATGGAAGTCTCGGAAACAGTCTTCTTGACTTACACTTAACAAGACCAGGGGCTGCACAGAACTCCTGCCGAGGCCTTGGGCATTTTTGCAATAATCAAGGACAGCTGAATAGAGATTAGCTATTCGATGCCAGAAGGAATTACTTCTAATTTTGTTAGGTGTTATCATTCTTTAGTTTTATAAATAACTTTGCTAAGAAATTTTTATTTTTTAGAGATACAGAGAAGTGTTCTAGGAATCAAATAATTCAGTATTAGGGATTTGCTTAAAAAAAAAAAAAA